TTCCACCTTAGTTGTGCATTGGAATACTTTCTCAAAAAAAAAAAAAAAATTCCTGGAGATCCCGATTGAATTGTTTTGGCAGTGTGGCCTGGACATTGGGACTTTTAAAGGTAATTGTAATTGCGTTGGGATGGAATGTGCTAAGAGTCACAAAACTGGGGCGACTTGGGAGCATAGAGGAGGCTACTTAACCCAGGCAGGGCTCTGAGTGTGGGGCATGGGAATACTTCCTAGAGAGGAGGAAAGGCCTGAACTGAGGCTTGATGAATGAATTTGTCAACTCCAAAGGACTAGAAAGACAGCTCCTTGCAGAAGGACCCCTGAATAATGTAGATATCAGAGTGGTTAGATTCCAGGCATCCATGCTACTCCAACTACTTCCTCATTTTGACTTTGACCAATTTATTTTCGGAGAGTCAGTGTCCCTGTCTCTAAACTGGGGCTTGAGAGTATTTATCTCTTAGGCTTGTTGAAGAGTAACTGAACTGATGTATGTGAAGTACTTCTGACTGTGCCTGGCACCTAGGAAACAGTGGTAGAAGGCTGGGGACGATGCTGTTATTAGAGAATTGGCTTGTGCACAGAGCTGCCAGTAGTTCTGTGTGATTGGATCTTAGGGTGCAAGACTGCAGGAGAGTGAGGGTGGGTGGGTGGCAAAAAGATGCTTGGTAGGTGGCATGGCTCCAAGTCATGGAGGTTTAAGAGTATAAAGCAATTAAGAATGGTATCTCATGGCAGAACCAGGACATTTCCATGGTAATATGTTAAGATATATCATGAAGTATTCTGGAAAAACTTGGGTCCATATTGGAAAATTGGCTCTGAATATGGTATTCTCAGCATTATTACGTGTACTGAATTAGCAGTGAGTGTTAATAGGACAGAAATAGGATTTTTCATTTCCTTTAGCCAAGTGGTTAAAAATATTGCACATCTTGAAGAGTAATGGAGGCAATAAGCAATCTCAAGGTAGTCCCAGAGATTTTTCTGGAAATTGCTACAGTCTCAATTGTTTATAGGCTTAAGGAAAATATTAAGAGTTGCTTGACCATTTGCATCTAGAGGAGACATTTTTAAGTTTATATTTTGATTTGCAGAGAAATAGAAAATGATTCCATCTGCATTGGCTCCACCAGCCCTTAAAATAACTTATGTATATTTGTTGGTGTGTTATATAACTTGTCACAACATTAGTCACCACTTCTTCCATAAGGCAACATGTAAAAGATCATGGATGAGCATGATTATAACTCATAATTATAATCCAATTTGTTCTCAGTTTCTAGTCAGCTTTTTTTTTTTTCTTTTTTTCTTTAAAAGGGGCTGTCAATCTTCGGCTTCATATAATAGAACTCTGGCAGCTACTTGCACTGAGTTAAAAACTTAGGTAACTTTATTATTAATCATTCGAGCAAGGCAGAAAACTATGGATAGCAGTAGAAGGAGAGGATAAATTTCATTGCAAATGCCTTTTTTCTTTGAAATCTGTCTTTCATTACAAAAGTACCGGGTGGATTCTTGAGGTATACCTTATGTGTAGTTTATGTGGTATGTGATAGATTATTTGGAAGAATAATTCTAATTAACTAGATCAGTGGTCTTCAAAGTGTGGTCATACGTTAGTCCAGCAGCATCAGTGTTATCTGGGCACCTGTTCCTTAATTCGTTTTACCGAATATTTATTGGATACTGGCTGCATGCCAGACACTCTTCGGGTACCTGGGAAACACTAGTGGGTCTAATAGGCAGGACCTTTGATCCCCTGCAGCTTCCATTTAGCAGAGGGAGACTGGCACTGCACAGGATTGTGATTAGTACGATGTGGATGATAAAAACTCGATGGTGGAGCATGCCAGGGGAGCCCTATCTGAGGAGGTTAAGTATAAGCTGAGTTTTGAATGTCAGGAAAGGCCACCTCTATGCAGATCAATACAAAGGATTGTAAGGTAGGAATGACAAACGAGATTGGCAGAGTGCATGGGCAAGGGAAGAGGTAGGAAATGAAATGAGAGAGGTAGGCCGAAGCCAGGACTTGTAAGATCTTCTAAGGACTTCCCCCCCCCCCATTTGTCTTTTAACTATGGTGAAATACATGTAACCTAAAAGTTACAAGTGTACAGTTCAGTAGCATTAAGTATATTTGTACTGATGTGCAATCATCACTGTCACAAAGTCCAAGTATCACCCAGGCTTCAGGAAGAATGGTGTATGGGCCACTAAGTTGAAATCTGACTGTGGAAGGGCCACGGAGGAAGCAGCGAGGCTAGTCAGGAGGGTACGGAATAAGTCAGGGGAGATGAAGGTGATCTGTCAAGAATGGTAGGGCTGGGGATACTGAGAAGCATCAAGATACTGGGTATATTTTGATGCTTACATCAACAGGATTTGCTGGTTGGTTGACTAGAGCATGTAAGTGATTGTGGCAGATAAAGCAGAGAAGAGTCAAGGGTGGTGCCATGTCTTTTGGGTCTGAATAACTAGTGGGTCTTAGAAGATGCAGGTTTGAGGAAGAAAAGCACCTTTAAATTAGAAGTGCTTCTTCAATATCTAGGAGGCTCTGCTGAGTGGGCAGTCAGATACGGGAATCTAGAGTCAGGGAAGAAATTAGGTTGGACATGACTTTGGGGCTTGTCAGGATTTGCACGGTGATTCAAGCCATGAGACTGGATGAGATCATCTGAATCGTGAGTGTGGAGGGGAGAGGCCCAGGACTAAGTGGGAGGGCAGGGGAGCTTGCAGCAGGAGGAGCTAGCAGAGGAGCAGCCAGAAGGTGGGGAAAGAAGCAGTAGAGAGTGACATCTTGGAATGCCAGGCAAGAACGTGTTTCAAGGAGGGCAAATGGCTCAACTGTGTCAAATGCTGCTGAGAAGAAAGATGAGCACTGAGAATTGACCTTGCAGCACAGTTTAACAAGGTGGAGGGCACTGGTGATTGTGGCAAGTTGTCTAGTAATGTGTATGTGGAGGCGGGGAGCAGGGGGTGCAGAAGCCTGGTTGAAGTGTGTTAGAGAAAGGGAGAACAGAAGCAGAGACAGTGACAGTGTTAGGACATTCTTCATGCGGAGATGACAGGTCTATACAAAATAACAGCGGCACAGCTCAATGTGTCAAGCTTCAGTGTTTGAAACTTTGGTATGGAGCATGTTTGCTTGCTGATATTTTATTATTAATTCAGTTTTTTAAAATGGGTGAACATTTGAAAGTGGAAATTTGGGCACAAGATGCATGAAGCTCAGAAGTACTGCCATGGAGTCCGAAGGGCCCACAGGACACATCTTAAAAGCCCTTATCTCAACCCAGGGGGATGAAATTCTGAGATGAAATTCAGCCAGTTGCGAAATAAGGTTAAGAAAGATAATTTTAGGCCTTAGAGGTACTCTTCCTGGTGTTCTTCAGATAACCTTAGAACATTCCTTTCTTCCATCAGACTCTACTTTGAGAACATTTGCATGAAGGGGATGTTTCCATTTGGTATTTTCCACGATTCATTGGCCAAAGTATACTGACCTATTGCAGGAAAAAAAAAAAAAAAAGCGCCAAAAATGTTAACACTCTTAGAATCTCAGGTTACTTTATCTCCCTTTTTAAGTAAGATACTCTGACTTAATATCTGGTTTTCAAATTCTTTGTGGGAAGATTTACTTAAATACCTTGCATTTTGGAACAGCCAACTCTTTTCATTGTAGGTCCTTATATAAAGCAAAAGCCATATCTCTTCAGTGAAGAAATGATGACCCTTTACAGGAGACCATTTACAAGATCCCTGATTAACAAAACACCCATTGTTCTTTCTACTCTTAAGAAGTAGCAGTATTACTCTTTTATTAAATCTAAGGTGCCATTACTTAGCATTACACTATTATTTTATGAATTACTAAGAAAGAAAAAAATTCTACCATTTAAAGGGAAAGATGCTATAGATTATAAGAGATGTAAACATGCGGGTGGGGAGGGGAAGTTCATCTTCGAATCTATGAAACACAAAATGGAGTGCCAGAAGGTGTGAATTCTGGTTCTGGCCGTGTTTCTAACTAGCTGCAGGACAATATACGAGACACTTAGAATCTCGGTCTCAGGCTCATCCCGTAAAGGATGGTGAGGGAAATGCCTGATGTACCTACCTTGCAGGATTATAATGAGGTAAATGAGATAGCTGTTTTGAACAGTAGACTCCCCTTAGCCAATTCAAGGTATTTATTTGCATGAAATTTACCCTTAGTTCTGATTAGGCAACTCAAAGTTTTTTCCCTGATCTTTGTTGTCAGGTTTAAAATAGAATTCAGTTGCAGACATTTGAAGGTGTATTTTCTTCTGCTAAATGATTTTCATTTGATCCAGAAATATCTTTTAATTATAGTTTTAGAATCAAAGAGAAAATACCAAAATAATATATCCCTGATGTTCTCATCACTCAGCATTAATAGCTGTTAACGTTCTGTTTGTGCTGTAATCTTTTTAAAACTTATGAAATATTGATGACCATAAAAAGAAGAATACAATAGTGAACACTGATATACCTGCTAATGCAGGTGAAGCCCCCTCCATGGAAAGAGAGGCTCACATTTAGATTAGCAGCTGTCTTACAATAGCATGGTGAGGTACGACCCTGTTTTCAACCTACCCGATGAGCAAGTTAACTTCATCCTATGAATGTTTTCCTGGATATGAGGGAAAAGGTTCCTTTGTGCTAGTGTTGCCTTGGTTTGAGTTTCCTCAAAATTTTATCTTTGACTTTGTCAGTTATATCCCAGACATTAGGCCTAGGCAGCTTTTGTGTGTTGACTTTTAAATTTCACAGTAATTCTTCTGGTTAGGTGTTTTCACTTTATGGATGAGGAAAGGGTGGCTCGGAGAAGTGGAGTAACTTGTCCCAGATTCCACAGCCATTAGGTTGGGGGGCCAGTGATTTTAACTGGGTTTAGCTGCCTGATACCACAGCCTGCACGTCTGTCCCCTGCTGACTCACCCCTCGCCAATAACCACGATCTTTGTTTGTTGTAGGCAAAACCCAGAGTCCACGTTTGAAGTCTACGTTGAAGTGGCCTACCCCAGGACAGGCGCTGTTCTTTCAGGTATCACATGTGGGATTATGACGTGGCGTGGATGTTTTTGTGTGACATGACCAGTGCGCATGGGATGATGGGGGAATCTTCAGGACTGTTACTTATCTTTCATTGTGGTTCAGTGTCTTTCCCTTTTCTCTGTGCCCACGTCAACCTAGGGAAAGGAGAATGAGCACGGCGAGCAATTTAAATTACGTCACGACCATCGCAGGCTTGAAATAGGGCTTTATTCTTTGTCATCTCTGGGTCTTGTGTTATAGCTTTCATAGATGCCTGCCTGGAAATCAACTATTTAGTGTGAAATACAGTCCCCTTGCTAACGAGGAGGGCTTAGCATGAGATTACAAAATAATGTGCAGGGAAATCTCGGGCACTAAGCTGGAAGGAGATGTTTGCCATGGAGTTCATTTAGTAAATTTTATGTCTGCTAGTAAAGGAAGGTTGGAAATTAGTTGAAGGAAACCCCTCATCTGGTTTCAGCCCTCGGAGTGATTTGGACCTGTGTTCTTGGACAACAGGGTCTTGTGCAGCTGAGTAAATCATCGCTTGACCTAAAATCCTTCTTGGTTAATGAGAAAAAATAACCTTATGACTTAGTGTTTCTTTCCTTGGTGCCTAAGAGAGTGATTCATTTACCACAGGTGTGTCAGGGAGCAACTCTTTTTCTACACGCACAAACAGTTGTATGTATTATTTGATGTTTAGGGAGAGTAAATTTTCTTGGATTAGAATCTTGGAATAATTAGGATTTCAGTGATAGGTATGCCCTTAATTGACTATACAACCTTTCGTATATTTTCTCTGTATTTCACTATTTTAATTAGACTGTAATACTCAGAAAAATAACTCCCTTTTATTGAGTACCTGATGTTCTCTTGCTCTTAATGCCTGACATAGGTAGTTGGTCCTCCTTATAGTACAACCCTTAAAGACAGCTGGGTGGCATCTGCTTTATACCTGTGAGAAAATAGAATCTCAGACCTAGTAATTTACCAAGATCATATAGTTATGTGGTGGGATAGTCAAGATTTTTGGTTCAAGATTGTTTCACTCTGCTAAGTTGCCTTCTTGAGAACAGTGACCGTGTCGTACTTGTCTCTCCATGCATCTTCAGGGCTTTGCACAATGTCTTTGTTAATTTTTATTAACATATGACATTTGATAATATGAGTGAACTTCTCTTAATAGCAAGTGATCTTGCTGTGTGCTCCACTTTCAGGATTACCTAATAAAAGCTGTGAAATATGTTATGTGTGTGGTTATACTAGAAGTAGAACGCTAACATCAACGTTAAATGATGCCTCTTGTTGCGCAAATAAGATATCAATCCCTTTGGACTGGGAGAGGAGATGTCTCCACAAGGTGTCTTAATGAGCAGCAGCTCTGTGGGCTGGCTTCACAGAATAACCGTTTGATGATGACTGTGATTTGACAAATAAATTTAAGGAAAAATTCTTATTCCTACAGTTAACTAACATTTCCCCTTTCAGTGCCTTAGAATACAACCCCCTTTGTGAGAGTTAAAATTTTTTGAGGTGGATATGAAGAAAATTTGAAAAGTACAAATAAAAGAATAAACTAAAGAAGTTTTTATCCACCCTCTTAATCATCCAGTTCCTCTCTGTATTCAGTTTTCTGGTAGAGAGAGGAACTGGAACTTGTTTAACTCTTCAGTTTATTTGCTAAAGTTTTTTGTTTTGAAAATATATTTTTTTTTTTTATAGAGGCATGTTTTCTTTGTTTGTTTGTTTGTTTGTTTGTTTTGTTTATACATGCACTGGGTACAGTCAGAAGCGCGGGAGGGTGAGAGAATTCACCAGAGCCAGAGCGGGGAGCAGAGCAGGCAGAAGGACCAAAGCACACTGCTGAGGGGAGCAGAGGGCAGCAGGAGAGGTCTGCGCTCCATGTGGGACCCTCCTCCGGTGGCCGGGAAGCAGCCGGGGATCGAACCGGCGGCGCAGAGGCCGCGGGCAGCTTCGCAACCCAGCGCTCAACCGCTGCGCCACCGGGGAGGCCCTGTTTTGAAAATATTTTGCAAGATATGTTACAGAACAATCATGCACTTTCCTTAGAATCATCAGTTGCTACTATTTTGCCACATACTCTAGATGTCTATTCATGTTACTTTTGTAGAACTTTTTGAGAATAAGTTGTAGATATTTTGATCTTTCACCCTTAAATACTTCAAAATCTATCACTCCAGATTAAGGACCTATATACATAGAAGATTTGCTATATTCTCTTTTATTCCTAGTTTATGGAGTATGTTGGATTTTTTTAAAAATCATTTTCTGCATCAACTGAGAAGACGTTTTTTCCCCCTTTGTATGGTATATGGTAGCTTACTTTGGCTTTGTATGTTGAACCATTCTTGCATTCTGGGAATAAATCCCACTTGGTTTTGATGTATATATATAAAAAAAAAAGGAGGGCATTTTCTTACATGGCTGGTACAGTTATCAAAACAAGAAAATTTAACATTTATCTGTTATTTGTCCATATTTAAATTTAATCAGTTGTTCCAAAAGTGTCCTTTATAACATTTTCCCCTCTGATGAAGAATCCAGTCTAGGATCTTGCAGTCCATTTAGTTTTCACATCTATTTAGTTTCTTTCAGTCTGGAATAGTTTCACAACCTTTTTTTTTTTAACCTTTCATGGCATGTTTTGGAAGAATTTAGGTTCATAGTTTTGTCAAAAGTTCTTGGATTGTATCTGATCACCTCCTCACAATTAGATACAGACTGTAGGTATTAGGCCAGAGAATCTGCAAGGTGATAATTGTGTCCTCTCTTATCATACCAGCAGATAGAGGATGTCTTTCCCAATTATTTGTAGGGAAATAAAAGTACACAGCACCTACATATCTAGTTTAACAAATAATTATGAAGTGACTTCCCATGCGGCTGTGTCCAGGTTAAGGACTATAGTGTTGCCTGGTTCTGGGAAAGAGGTGCTCCTGCCCTGGCTCTGTGCTTCCGAGGACTCTGCTTTGGTCCCTCCTCTGCAGTGCCCCCTCTTCCTCTGGGGCAAGGTGTCTGTTGGGCCTATGGAACATGCCCACTTGGAGCCTAAACCTTCTGTCCTAGATTATGCTTTGCACGCCCAAGATCCCAGGATTACTTGCCCAAATGGGCCTGAGCTTATCTCCAGAGCCTGTGTGAGTCTCGTCTTGGGTTTCATCCTCCTAAAGGTGGACTGGGCTTCTGGCGTCTTATCAGCCTGAGGTTGCCTAGGGGTCACTGATTGTGAGGAGTTGGGGATACTGGAGCTTGGACTTGTTTTGGGGGTGACTATGTGCTTGTGTATGAGGACCCTTGCAGGGCGGATAGAGATAATGGTGATGGGCAGCGGACCCTCGGTCACTTTTCTCTGAACTGCCAGAAATCCTCAGCATGAATCTGGCCTTCCAAGTAATTATTAAGATACTCCTCACAATGGGAAGATAGAACATATTTTCTTTAATAGTTTATAAGCTTGTTTCTTATCTTTTAAATATTTAGCCATAAAGTATGTGGGCCTCTTTGTACCATTGCCGAGGCCCTGTAAATGTTAGAAACGGGTTTGCCAGCACCCCAAAGGCACCTCCCTTACTCTGTAGAGGTGACTACTGCTTTGGCTTTCACCATCATCATTTCTTTGCTTTTCTTTATAGTTTTACCATATATGAATACCATCTTGAAAAATTTAACTCAGACCTCTCTGTTTCTGACTTTTATAGAAGTAGAGTTATTCTGTGAAGTCTTGCTGCTGTTTTGCTCCAGATTGTTTGTAAAGGTCCTCCCTGGTTGTGTGTGGCTGTAGACATTCATTTTCATGGCTGCTTGTCATGCTGGGATTCTTTACTGTTTACCCACTGGACTGTTGAAAACACTTGAAATTATTTGCAGCTTTTGGCTAATACAAGCAACGCTATTGTAATCTTTCTAACACAGAAATCCTGGTGCATAATTGGACATAATTTCCAGATGATAGATACCATACTTGACTGTGGCATTATGTGAAATTTTTTTCAAAATTGAATGTGCTCATTTCTACTCCTGCCAGTAGTGTCTGACAGTCTCCATTGGCCCCCCACAGCATCATTCCTTGTACAGTTCGATGGTCGAACTTTGCCAACCTGATGGTTGTGTAGCGCTATCTTCTTGATTTCAATTACATTTTCATGGTGACCAGTGAGACGGAGCACCTTTCCATGTACGGATTGACCTCCGGAATATCTTTTTTCAAGTTCCCATTCAAGTCTCTTGCTCATTTTTTAAATTGAATTTCCTTCCTTTCCCCCATTGATAAGAAGTTATTTACATGTTATGGATAATAATTCTGGTTGTATGTGTTTATAATGTCTTCTCCTGCCCTGTAGCTTGTCTTTAATTCTCTTTGTGCTATTTTTGACCAAGTTTATTGATTTTAATATAGTGTAGTTTATCACTATTATCCTACCCTATAAACTATGAGGGTGTTTTCCTTGAAGCAATTTTTAGAATTCTACCTTTCACATTTAGGTCTTTAATCTGTCAGTAGTTTCAATTTTCTAGTTAAACTCTAAATTTAATCCTTATCCATGATTTTGAAAAATTGGGAAACTGAATACATCTGAGTTACTAATCTATGCTATTTTTCTACTTAAAACATTTTTGTAAAATGATTGGGTACTTCTAAATCATACCTAAGAAATTGCCTAATGAAAGATGACAGATGTGAGAAACACGAATAAGAAACATTACTAAACCTTAAGGGAAGTTCTTTTTTCCATCAATAACTTTAAATGTCTACTAGTGAAGACACATGTTGTAACGCTCATGTGTTTTGGGCTCCGAGGAGCGCTCCATGACACCCACAGAAGGGCCATGTGATCTGTCAGCTCTGCTTAGACATTGCATCATGACTTGGGGCTTTGAACCAGACACCTTTCAAAGACTGTGCAAGTAAATTTGAGTAAGTTCACTGAGCTCTCAGTGCCACTTACTTTGAGGATTTGTAAGATTTCCTACTTGCTATCACCAGCA